GCCGGCGGAGCTTTTTCGAGTGGGGCCGCTGATAGCCGGACCTCGCCTCCAATAGTCATTGACCAGACGCTCGTTCGGACATGTTATATTTTTCTCGGGGCAGCCTGATCCTGACAATAAGAATTAATCGACGTCTCAGCACTTTCTTCGCCCGAAAATGTTCCTTTTTCCCCTCGCTGGAGGAGCGGAACGGAACTGTGGGAATCCCTTAATCGCGCGGCCGCCGCAGAGATAATTCCTGTCCGTCGTCCCGCCAGACCTTAGCCGCCGTCATAAAGTCTTCCTGCGAGAGCGCGCGCTGTAACGTACAGAAAGTCATAAACTATCGACCGCGAGATGGTAGGTTTTGATCGTCGCTGGAACGCCGCACATCTGCTCGCGGGAAAGGGACGTATCTCGCGCGATGTTAACGCGTCACATTGCGATCGCGGACGTTATCCAGGCGCTGCGATAGCGGATCGTAGGAACTTAATTACCGTCCTGGAAACCCGTAACTACGCCTTACCCGCGTAAAAGTGCCATTACTGCCTCCCTTGCGTGTCGCATGTCCGCTTTTGTACGAACGAGTCGTGAGGTAGCGCGCGCGTGAAAAATTCGTCGAACGTTTCCTAAGCCGCGCTGAAGTAATCTATTCCGTGTGTGAATCGCTTTATCTTTAATACATAATGTTTAGAATTATGAGTGTACGCGTAATTGTAAATTCAAGCGACATTTGCGTCACTGTGATTATCGTCGAGTGACACAATACGGTTCGCCATAATAATTTGCCGCAGAGGAGCTATTATTGAAAGCGTAATGTCGCATTAAACTCTAGTAATTGAAGAAATATCAACTTGAAAAATTCTCGTTAAAGAATTCATCGCTGGGGGAAAGTGTACGAAGCCCTCTTATAGGATGTGTACACAACGTGCAGCTTGTTGCACTTCGCTCTACTTTGTAGAGCACAAGCGATTTACAAATGCTTGGATGTGTACTTTATCGACTGTTGCCGATTTCGCGATTTTCTACTCTAAATATAATTTTAATTATGTGATTATATAAACTTTGCGTAAAATAAATTTAATTATTTAATTATAATATTTTTTATTTGCATTCAATTGGATACGTAATTAATGGCAAAATTTAAACCGTTGATATTTTCATTTCTGCGAGCAGAAGAAAATATGTCGATAACTGCGCGCATATAAAAAGAAAAATGTATGCCTACTAAAGCAGCAATTACGTAAAACTAATTGTTCAGGCACGCAACGGTGATTCGTTGCGGTTCGATAAAATAAGTGTTCGGTAATAGCCTGCGGTGGACAATTTTTAACGCACTCGATGTAGTGTATGAATCGTTCGCCATAAATACGTCTTGTTTTTTTCATGTAAACTATTTTTATATTTTACATGCGGCGATATATCTGGGTTGATACTACGTTTACACCTACGAAATTGTCTGTGGTTTGCACTGCTTTAAAACTTTTACCATTTGTGCGTAAACAAATTGGGCGGAAAGTCGTATTAATTTTGTCGTGGACACGGATGGCAAATTGTTTAATTTCGCAAGATTGCCATTTCGCATGAGATTCGAGGATAAAAATGTTCAAGTTTAATACAGATTGAGTAACCGTTGTAATATAATTTGCAGGACATTTGTTTAGAAAAACGAGTTTATAAAAAAGAGAACGATTTATAGAGTCGCACGAACTGGGATTATAATATATCGACTCGAATTTAAAAAAGTCATGCCAGGAAGATTCGGACCTAACAGGTTTCTCCTGTGACTTGCCGTCGATTAAGGACGAAGGTCGCGTGTCGAAAAATTAAAGAAGATACGAAAGTTTTAAGCGCATTATGCAGGCGTGGTGTCAAAACCACCGAGCTCAAGAGTATCATCACACTTATTGAAAATGCTGGCGCTTAAGCGTTTGCGTGAGGCTGTATGCGTGAGAGATGGGACCTATTGAGTTAACTATCCTCGTCCTCGGGATCAGGAAGCAGCACGTTAGAAAGTTATAAGTCTTTAAACTTTAATTTTAACTTGAACTCGACGGCGCTAAAGTTGGTTTAGTTTTACCTTACTTATACTTCTGCGGTCAGGACCCGGAGTTTTAAGAAGCTTCAAGATTCCACGATAAACCCTGAACGCTTTACATTATGAAGCGGTAAACTAAAAAGACTTTTGACGTTGACGCAAATTCTCCGCTTTTGTCAGTTGCAAGGGGGGAAAGAAAATATTCGCGAACGGTAATATCCGTTGCGCGCGACGATTTTCCGTTCGCTTATTGTGACCACATACGGTCTGATTTCGCGACAAACAGTTTTAACGCTGTGTTTGAGGAGGGAATGAAAACAGGCATTTACTTTCGCGCTGCCGTTGAATATTTTCCGCGCGCGCTCGCGTGTAACATTATATGTGTAACATTCCATGTTTTATTAAATTTGCCATAATAATTTTGTTCCATATATTTACGCGGCGGCGTTACAAAGCAAATGGACGTGCATATAACATTGCTGACGAGGAAAATTAAATCAGGAATATTAACAATATCACATGCAATATCTTAAATCTAACTTAGTCCCTCCCTCTCTCTCTCTCTCTCTCTCTCTCCCTCTCTCTCTCTCTCTCTCTCTCCCTCTCTCTCTCTCTCTCTCCCTCTCTCTCCCTCTCTCTCTCTCTCTCTCTCCCTCTCTCTCTCTCTCTCTCTCTCTCTCTCTCTCTCTCTCTCTCTCTCCCGATACTCAGTCAGAGGACAGTCGATGTGAAACGAGACACGCCTTCGCTCGGCAAAACGCGACAAATGCGTATTTATATCGGAGCGATTTTTTTTTTAATACCTAGAAATGTTGCACATTTGCGTATATTTTTGAAAAATTCCGCTGCAAAATTAATTGCACATTCTTCCGTTGGGCCATTTTGCGAGAATTAATCTCGGTTGGAAGTAAACAGGCGTTATTTATCAAACGTTTCAACTCAATTTCTACGCGATTACAAAGTTTTAGGTACACTCGCGAGAGCGCGGTGTGTGCTCGCGTTACACCCCGGCTTTTATTTCACGCGAATGGATTTATTCTTACGCAAAGTAAGCATACCTCACATACTAAACGTGGTATTTGAATATCTCGAATGTAAATTTCAGCGACAGAGCGCGCGTCGCGCGACGCGCCGCGCCGCTATCGTATTTTACCGGAGGTGGAAAAAAACGGGCTTTCACGACAAGCGCGTGCCATTTCGCGAAAGAAACGGATACCCGCTATCTCCCGCACTGAACGCGGGCTACGTACGAACGGCAAGACGCGACGGCAAGGCGGGAGGAAGGGAGGGAGGGGGGGGGCGGGGGGGCAAGGCGAGCGTGCTTTTTTAGCTTCTCTTTGCGCGCGAAAGCAGGTATTCGTTCCGCGCTTCGTGCTCGAAGGTGTCGGTCGATCGAACGTTCCGCGCTTGTTCCGCGCAATTCGAAAGCTCGCCCGCTGCGGAACGCGCGACTTCCGTGTCGCCCTTTTTTATTTTGTCCCTTTTTTTCCCGAGGAGATGGCAGGGTGAGAGGGGCCTCCGCGTTTTCGAGGGGGGGGGGGGCAAAATCGAGTTTTCCAGTCATCCGCGCGTCGGTCAGCGCTCGCAAATGGTCGTTTTTGCAAATCGCCGGCGCCGCGATATCGGATAGGTAATTTCCGAAATCTCAGCCTCCCGTCGGATGATCTATTGCCGGCGCGCCGACCATTCGATACGGCTAACGCATTAGACCGTTCTATGCATTCGACATCACTGAGATCAATAGACACTTCTGACACGTTACACCGCGCGATGTGTAACAAACGGAGGTGGATCAGGAGTGTACGCCGCGCTATCCACGGCGAGAATGCGCGCATCATATATCCAATATACGTATAATTGAGAGACACGCCGCGTCCAGAGCGAGGGTCATTAACGTCGATACAAACGTCACCATCAAAACTATTATCGCCGTAAACATCCGATAACCGCGCGGCTTTTCCCGGCCGGTGAATCGCGAATCGCGAATCGCCATCGTCGCGTTCTCGCTGCGTACGCGACGAAAAGCTCGACCTCTCCTCGTCAGTCCGAAAGTTCCCGCGATCATTAACCTTGAAACGGCCGACGCCCGTTTTATCCGCTCTGAATGACATTGCCTCAGAGGGAGGTGTATCGCGCGCAAAAAAAAAAAAAGAAAAAATTGCTCTGAAATTCATTCGATCGCAAGTTTTAATCATTGCTGCGCTTTTCTTCTCGCGGCTTTCATGCATAATTTGGACTGGCGGGGCGGGGGAGCGGCTACAACACCGCCATGCGGAGAAAATTTTCATCGAACAATGCATGCATCGCGCGTAACACGTACTCGCATGTCGAGCTGCAAATATATACGTCGCAGTGATTAATTAACAGTTTGTTTGGATCCCTTTGAAAGAGTGCGCGACGTGAACACATTTGTACGTATAAAATATTGGTTGGAATAGTTTCCGGTGAAGTTTCTCATTGCGAGAAAGTTGACATCTTCGAGGAAAGCCCTCTCGCCTATCTCGGCAGGCGAGACCGGTCTGTTACTGTCTTAGTTAACGATGTCTCTCGGATTGTACCTTAAAGATTAAACATCGCTTAGCCGGCTTCACGCTTTACGCACGATCGATGACGCCACTGTCGTCTTTGCCGGCCGCATTTTCGAATCCCGCAAGTCTCGCAAGGACCGGGAACGTTCGTGAACCGACGAGCGACGGTCCTCGTGAAACGTGAGCGCGCGCGGAGCTCATTGGCTTTCGCAAGAATTTACGAGCGGCGGTAAGCAGGGCTCTAATAGCTTTCGAGGCGAGCAGCACTCGCGTCGCGATCGCGCCTCCCGGAGAAAATGTCCAGCTCCGCCGCCCGCGCGATGCGCACCTTAAACTCCGGGCGACTTAGCTTCTCCTCCGCCACTGCCGCCACCCTCTTGAGGGGTGGACGTCGCGGCGCGGGGGAGGTGATTTTGGTTTGCCCCTCACTCGTCGCGACGCTAGCGCCGCGCCGGAGGCTCCAGTCCGACCTCAGCATCACTCGTGGTGGTTTCGCGCGCGCATCCGCCGCTAAGGTGAGACCACTTTTCGAGGTGAAAAAATCGAAAGTCCGTTGTCGATCGCGGCGATTCGCGAGCGCGTCCGCGTCGTCGAGTCGCACCGTTCGACCGGCGCGATCGGGAGATCGGGAGGTTAATTGAGGGATGTCGGCGGAATAGTTTTCTTAACGACGACGACGACGAGGAGGAGGAGGAGGAGGAGGAGGAGGAGGAGGAGGAGGATCGCGAGGGGGTGCGTTTGAAGGAGAAGAAATCCAAATCACTGAAGACGCGCGGGTGAAGGATGGATAATTCACGGGCGCGAGTGAGCGGCCAATCGGCGGACTCTCGATCACTGGAGGGATCGCGCGGCCTCGCTCGCGAGGAATAGACAGCGTGTGCGAATTCGGGAAGGTAGATTCGCCGCGTCGGAGCCCGTCTGTCAACTCTCGACGGCGGCCCGTTTGTTTACCGCTCGCCGATCCGTGATTCGCGCTTCCTGTCGGCGCGCTAGCTTCTCCAGCGGATGCCGAGCGCTTCCGGCTGGCCCGGCGGAATGTACTCGCGGGAATACGGAGATTTTCGGCGAAACCGCGGGTGATCGAGGAAATCTGCCCGGCGCTTCGGAGGGGGAACTGCCGAATTCCTCAAGACTGGAAAGTGCGACGCGGACGGAAGCGGAAGGGTGAATTTGCGGTGAATTTTAGGAAAACACGCACGTACACACTTACACACGTTCGCTCGCTCGCTCGCTCGCTCGCTCCCCCTCGCTCCTTCCCTCGGCCGAGAGAGAGAGAGAGAGAGACGATCGTGACCAGGAATGTGCTCGAGATGTTCGATTAGTTCGGAGTAAATTCAACACCGGGATCCTGTGGCAGTGAGATGATACTTGAAGTGAGAGTGTCATGAAACACGTTCAGTGAAATCCGGATTAAAGCGCACTCGTACGAATTCCCTGCCCTGTGTACGTATACGCGCGCGCGCGCGCGCGCGTGTCCGTGTACGCGCGTAAAATAGTGACAAGTATGACGAGCGGAACATCGCAGTGGCAGTGACACCGAAAGGGGGAAAAAGTAAATGAATGAAAAAGAGTCGACCGCGCGCGCGAAGCGACTCGGACCGGCGGACCTGTATATACGCGTCATATCTGAAGTAATCGAGTGAAAAGAGAGTTCCGCAGCGCGCCGTCGGATGTGTGTGGAGAGTGTGATAAAGCCTTTCGGGATTTTGGAAACGCGCGAAAGCGCGAATACGCTTTGAATATCTCGGAGATTCAAAGGGGCCTGGATTTGAGTCGAGCCGTGATCGAGCTATGTCCGATGTAATATTCAACAGATATCCCTGCAGCGGTGCGTAAATGTGTCAGCAAAAATCCGTATTAAAGTATTCGCGCATGAGACTCCCGCTCACGACGGCGATGAGTTCCACACGAGTGCGGATCCTCCCGTCGTGAGCGGCACTTGAACGCGAAGACTCGCTCGAGAGAGCCGCGATTTCGCGTGGCCGCGCGTAAAAGAACGCCGCACCCCCGTGCGTCGCTGCGATACGCAGCGCTCGATCAAGCTTTCCACCCGACCGCAAGTCCCACTTTTACGAGCGGCAGCGACGCTCGCGAGCCGCGATATCTCGAGTCGGGAACGTCCTGTTTCTGCCGGATTCTCGCAGGATCGACAGATGAGATCTTAGCGATTCGTGCGAATGAGAAAGTCCGACGAGATCCCGGTCTCTCTCTCTCTCTCTCCCTCCCCCTCCCTCCCTCCCTCTCTCTCTCTCTCTCTCTCTCTCTCTCTCTCTCTCTCTTTCTCCGCGGTGGAACGCGCAATCCACCGAGCCGGCCATTTCAAATTTCCGTGCGCGAAGCGAATTCTACTGTGCCCGTCCTATCGTCCTATCGTCCTATCGTCCCGAAGTTAATCGAAATCAAAAGTTAGGTATTGTATTCGCATTAACGTGTACACGCAACTTTTTTCGAAAGGATAACGAGGAACTTTAATCGGTCGACTCTTGGAGTCACATTAGCTCTCTCTCTCTCTCTCTCTCTCTCTCTCTCTCTCTCTCTCTCTCTCGAGAGAGAGAGAGAGAGAGAGAAAGAGAGATTCCAACTTCGACAGTTCAGTTAACTCGCGCTGTCTCGTATAAAGTCTCAATAAGAATTCGATTCACCGTGAGGAACGACACGAAGGACGAAGCTCGTCTTTTGCCGGCGTGTTGCTTCGCACGCGAATTCTCGAGAATCTTCTGTTCGGGGCGGATCGCGCGACAAGTTTACAGACGGGAGCAGGCGAGGAGAATACGACGGTCACTCGACTCTCGCTCGAGTCGGGTCGAGTCGAGTCGGGACACGTCAGTGACACGCGAGGAAAAATAATTGGGGACGCGGAAACGATGCGGAATGGCGCGCGCGTCTGCCGACAGTGACTGAAAATCAAATTTGTGAGAGCGCTGCGACGACGGGATCCTCGCGATAACTAGCTGCGGCCACGAGTATCTCACTCCGGTGTGCTCGCAAGGTGCTCGAGTGCGAGAGAGAAAGAGAGAGAGAGAGAGAGAGGCTGAGAAGGAAAGGTAAAGAGAGAGAAAGAGAGAGAGAGAGAAAGAGAGAGAGAGAGAGAGAGAGAGAGAGAGAGAGAGAGAGAGAGAGAGAGAGAGAGAGAGAGAGAGAGAGAGAGAGGAAAAGAGAGCAAAGAGAGGAAACAACAGTGTCGCTCGTTGGCTCGTTCCCTCGGCAAACGTACGGAGACGCTTAGCGCGGAAGACGTAGGGACTGTAAAAAATACGACCGCGATAACGATAACGTTGCGCCGCCGCGCGGTCCTTTACGTGACCGGGACGAGGCGCGTTCGCGAAAACGATTACGCCAAGTGCCGGCGGGTAATGCTCGGATAAGCATAAAGCTCCGGCTGACCATTTGATCGACCATTCGCCGTGCAATCGCTATTCCCCTCAGTCTCGGAGGGCGGCGCGAAGGCGCGCGCGAGGACGGGGAGTATTAACGGTAATAAACTCACGTGTCTCGGCGAGAATCCTCGGCTCTCTCTCTCTCTCTCTCGACCGGTTTTTCCCCCTTCTGCCGGCCCTCCTCGCCGCCGCGCCGGGCCGCGGCGACATTTCCGCGTAAAGTGCGTTCGTAATTATTCATCGGCCGAATATATCGTCTCTCGTCGCAGGTTTCATTGTCATAATTAATCTCGCTTTCGCGGATCGAGCCATGGCGCGATAAAATCGACGTGCGGACACGCGCGAATTATTATCGCTTTTGAGGAGCGCGGAGAGAGCAGAATCCTCCCCCTCTCCCCCCTCCTCCCCCCAGGGAGAGGCGCACACGAGCAATTAGGCGGAGAGCGCGTGGTAAAATAAAATAGGGATTGCATTACCGCGGCGCGCTGCGTGAACCGAGATACGAGGTCGACGGGGAAAAATCATAACGACTCATCCGAAGCACGAGATTACGCGCCGCGCGGCGCATCTTGAAAAAAAGCGCCGGCGCGCGCGAGTTGGCGAGGGGTGGATGGGAGGTATAATTGAAGACACAAAAGCCGGCGCTCTCTCGGCGGAGGTGGTGAAATTACGGTATGCGCGATGCCGGGCGGCGGTCGTTTGCAACAATATTGACATTGTCAACGAAGCAGAGCGGGGGGGGGGAGTCGGTTGTTATCGATACCGACGATTACGCAGTCTTTCGGCGGCGCGGGTACGATTAATTTCCGATCGCGAGTTCTGCCGGCGAAATTGAGCTGCCGACGCGACAGCTGCTCCGCCGCGAGGGGAGGATCGCACGCGACGACGCGCGCGGGTAAATGAAATATGCACGGGGGTAAAAGTGCCGGTTGCACGGCCGACGAGAGCGCGGCGGAATTCCTTCAATAAGTCGCCGTCGTCTGCTCGCCGTCGCCGCGCCGCGTTCGTGTCGCGCCCTCCGCGTTACTCCAGCGGGTTCCCCCGTGAAGAACTATTAAACACTCGAGTGTCGACGGCCGCTTCACGATTCGAGATCGTAGCCGCCGCCACCGCCGTCGTGTTCCACGAGGATCGATCGATCGATCTCGATCGGCTCCCGCTCTCTCGTAAGATCGAAGAGTGTCGGGGAGTAAAAGCTGTGTCGGGCAAGTGCTTGGGTATTTCGCAGCGAGTGCGAGAGAGAGAGAGAGAGAGAGAGAGAGAGAGAGAGAGAGAGAGAGAGAGAGAGCCGCCTCTTTTCGTTGCGTTCTCACCCGCCCGGCTTGATTTCGTGCCGTTGTTTTCCGAACGCCGGTTCGGTGTTTCACGCGGACGGCCATTTCCTCGATCGTATGCACTTCAAAAGGAAGAGGAGCGCGCGACTTGTCCGGAGGTACGTTTGAAATCACCTTACTAGCTTAACGGTGACCAAGACTTCGCAGAGAGGGAAGATATGGAGGCTCCGGACAATAGAAATGTCAATTTGCCGAGAGTGAGACAAAATCGGAGTTTATCTTTTAATCTCCACCATAGGATAATAAACTCGCGTATTGACGTAAAATCACGCGCGAAATCGGGGCGGGGGGAGGAGGCGTCGCGAAGATTATAGCAGTCAGGATGAAAGTTGTATCAAAAATATAAAAATGTACACAAAAGTCGCGCGATGCGCATGCATGACGCGAAATTGATGTACGTAAGCGTTCCTCAGGTACGTACACTAAGGAAGCCTCAGAGCTGCGTTATGCTTGTATTCTTCCTCGAGGAAAGACTCTCGTCCTTACTCGAGCGACCAATTATGGCTGTTTCCTGCGCGACATCCGCGCGACAAATTGCGCAAATGTTGTCTCGAATTTATTGACGCGTACGTCAGAGATGTGCGGCAAAAATTCTCGTTCGGTTTATCGTAGGAGTTGACGTCGAGGGGAGGGCGGGCGAGTGGGATAGAGAGAGCGGGGAGGGGGGGGAGCGATTAGCCATACTCTAGAGACAAGACCTTAGAACACAAATCCCGGATGATTTATTCGACGCGCATTGTTGGAGCGCGATAATTAAGAGGCTGTCACAGTTTTCTGGGCGAGCAGTTAGTTCTCATTTATAAATGAGATTATAATGAATCGCAGGCGCAAACTCAATTTCTTCGAAGTCCCTAATGGATTTGTCACAAAAGAATGTTGGCTCGGGAATGGGCAGAGTTTGGGGATCTCTTAATCTGTCTTTACTACTTTCTCATTACCTAGAACTCCCGGAGTGAAGGCTCATTGAAATAAACGTGAGGGCTAAATTAAACGGGACGAGAGAGCGAGAGAGCGAGGGAGCGAGAGAGCGAGAGAGCGAGAGAGCAAGCGAGCGAACGAGCGAGCCCGATATTGCCTATTTACGTCGCGCGTTTTTCAAGAGGCTGCTTTTAACTCGGCCATTAACTCCTTGACACCTTGTTGCACAAACAAGTTGTAAACAAAATTACCACGCATGCGACGGACGGCCGTCGAAGGGAACGTCGAATATTATGCGTCGCGCTCGAGTCGCTCGCGAAGAAAAGTAATTATCGTTGTTAAAAATTACCGCAACGTCGGGTACGCGCGATGCTGCCGCTGGCGGACCAATACCGGTAAATGACGGATGGATCGATGACGGTCGAGTGCGAGTGATGGTAATTGAAAATCTGCGGGAGCATAATGATGTTCGGCGGTGCGCGCGCGCGCACCCGCCGAAACGTCATTATTTTCCTTTTTCGTCTGTTATTCGTGTAAAGTCGATAATTGATCATTTCCGAAAAGGTTAAATATAATTTCATCGGCATAATCTCACTGATACACCGGTGGAAATCGATGTGTCTCGAGCTCCTCGCAAACTGCATTTTACACACGATCAATCCGCGTCGATGTCAATTACGCGTCAATTCGTTTTCGCGGTGCGTTCTACTTTGCGCCTAATGCGCATCATAAATGTGATCGCTTCGGCGCGCGATCTCGCTGTGTATCCTCCGATAATTAAAATTAATAACGAGCTTCTTTCAGCTCTCTCCGCGGTTCGGCATATTCAAAGATTCATAAACCGTCCGCTGCAACCGAGTCTGAAAGTTGATCAACCGGCGCGCTGTAAATATAATTTACGCTCGACGTGTAAAAAAAACGGCCGATAATTGTTGACTATTATAATTATTGACGTGTGAATGCGTGATGGTACAACAGATATTGACTTTTGCTGCGCGCGTTTTCGCGGGTCTCTCTCTCTCTCTCTCTCTCTCTCTCTCTCTCTCTCTCTCTCTCTCTCTCCTTCTTCTTCTTCTTCTTCGTGCGTGAGAATATTGATGCGATATTTTTTGCACTTCTGCCACGGTCTGGCAAACTGCGATAAAATTCCGAGCAAAAACTCTTTTGCGGTCGGCGTGCGCGTGCGCCGGCGCTGTGAC